AAGCGTCTTCATGATCCTTTCCGTTGAAAGGAATCTCCTTTAATGTAGTAAGGATGTGCCCCTTAAGTTCAAATGTGGCAGTGTTGGGTATGGCGAGTTGCACAATCCCCGAACCGGTGTCGTCTGAATTCTATTTTTGTACGCCTCCATCGAGAGGTTGGCAATGTCCGTTATGGTGTTGTCGGGTTCTTTTTTTGGCTCGCTTACTGTTTCGGATTCGATTTCGCTTTCTTCCCTTTCGATTTCGAACTCGGTTTCTTTTGGAATGGAATCTTTTTCAAAACTCTCAACCTTGATTTCGTCGCTCTTTTGATTGCTAGACTCACCCACTTTCTTGCGTTTCTTCTTCCCAAATATTGATTTAAGGTCTTTGAAAGGTGATTTCTTTGGCAGTTTAGTGTCTTCAATGACTTTATCCTTGTTCTTCCTAATAGCGGATTCCGGGTCTTCGAATGGAGGAACCAAAGGTGTGTTTGAGCCTCGGTTTATATAACACCTATAAGAAAACAAAAAACACACGTAAAAAGAACAAAACAAAACTAAAAATGAAGTTGAAAATTTGCTTTGGACTCATCGAGTCGATGCGTCTGGACTCGGCGAGTTCAAAGGTAAAACAGAAAAAAAAAATAGAACGAAATTCCTAAAAATAAAAAAAAAAAACTAAAACTTAAACCTAATAACTACTTTTTTTAAAACAGTAACTTTGTGCAAGATAGATCTCACACAAAGGATCGATAACACTAGCAATTAAATTTTATTTTAGAATCGTTCCCCGGCAACGACGCCAAAAACTTGATGTGTGTTGAATGCACTAGTTTTAGTCCTACTTTTTAAATATAGTTTAGACACACAAAAGGCAGTGTACCTATCAATTGGTGGTATAGTTAAGCAAACAGGGTATCAAACACAGGAAACGGTAATTAAACTAACTACTAGGATTATCTAAGAAAACAAATAATAAAAGAAAAGAGGTTTTCTCTAGTTTTGTAAGACTAGAAACTTAATCACTTAACTAACTCGCAAACAAAACAATTAAATGCTAAACAAATAAAAATAAACTAAATTCAATATAAAGGAGACTTTTGTTCAAGTTCAAATTACTTATTCCTATGGTTGATTTTATGGCAAGTGCAATGGATTAATTTGTCATTGCCTTCCGATTAATGTGATTAGGTTCATGTTCACTATTACTAATCCTTAGAAAACAAATCAATTCAAACAGTGGCCAATTGGTTAAACTAATGAGTTTCCTAGTTTATTGATTCAGGTTAAGTAAGACTTGTAGTTAGCTAATTAAATTACTAATTCAATTAACTTCTTGTATGGTTGTTCGTTACACAAGCTCACACATTGATTTACCTATCTTCTAATTAACCCCTAGTTTCATGTTCATTATTCCTAGGCATATAATATTGCTTTCACATAAATTATATGAGACAAGCAATTAAGAGATGTTTATGCAACTCAATAGACTTGATAATTAACCAAAAATAGTTATTGTCAATACCTGAGGCTGAGGATCTTTAACAAGCTTAAAAAAACAAAATTCACCAAATTAAATAATCCAAGCCATAAAATTCAAACAATAGTTATAAGTCTGTCTACCCCAACAAAAGCAAAGAGTTTTTAGCTCATATTCATAGCAGAAAATATCTCACAACTTAAACCTAATGATTTAAACATGATGAATACACTAGATTAAGAAAAGAGAATATATTTGTGCCTTTCGATCTCCTCAAAATTGAATGCTAAGGTTGATCCTCGATTTCTAGAGATCTAACAACACTCTCAATCGAATTCACTCTCCAAGGGTTCCAACCAAAAGTCCTTGTCTCGTGAGTTAATGCCCTTTATATAGTTTTCTGAAAACAGGGGCAACTCGTCGAGTCCATAGACTGACTCGCTGAGTAGCTCACTTAGAATCCGTACGCGGTAAGGCACCCAATGGTTCGCGAATGTTCGTGCCTACTCATCGAGTAGGTGTCCAGCTCGCCGAGTTCTTCAGGTTTTTTACTCTTTTTCTTCTTTCTTCAATTCCCGAGCTTCCGATTGCTATTCCCACCTCCTTTTGCTTCCGAGCACGTCTTTTAGGCTGAAAATATAATTTAAACATAAGTAAGTACCTTTTGTTCATTAATTGAAATAAAATAGCCAAAAAGTATTAAGATTCTACACAAAATATATAACTAAATATTAGCATATTAGCGATCAGCGAATTGCTCAATCATGGCAGTCTTGACCAACCCAAACAACTCCAGGATAACCTCCCTGATTGCCTCAACCACTGATCTATAGCAATGATCCCACGGATCTCCTCCTTACTCAGACCTCCATGATTGCCTCAACCACTCCTAATCCTAAACCTCTAACAGTCGTCATACTGAAAATTATACCAAGCGTTTGGGCATTGATCGCGTACGCCCAACGTACCAGGGATGCCCTAGTATGCCAAACGTACTCCCCGTACGCCCAACGTACATGACTAACCCAAAAATCGCCTAACTTCAAACGGTCGCAACTTATTCGTTCAAACTCCGTTTTCGATGTTCTTTATATTCATGGGAAAGTGTTGAAGAGCTCTACAATATTATCTAAATATCTTGGACTACAAACTTCTCGAACAAAAATCAATATTTCATGCAAGAACCCGACCTATGACTTTTCTCTTTCGGCCCAAAACATAATTTAATAGTTAAATCTCTTAACTAACATTACATCATTTCACAAGGACTAAACTTTGCCTCCTTAAGATCCAAATCCTTACACAATCGACTTCTGTCCTACGACCCATAAATTGTAGTAAACAGGATGTTACATAATGTTGATGGATGTTTTCATAACACTTGCCATCCATCCAATGTATGAAATGATTTTCAACCCATCTACTTTTTTAATTACTTAGTTAAATGTCATTTTCTATCCTTTTATTTTTAAAATATCACTTTGATCACCTTCATTTTGAACTTTATAAAATATCACTTTCATCACCTCCATTTTTAATGTTTATCCCCTGTAGTATACATAATTTGATTTTCCTTAATAATATTCATTTGTTAACTTAAAACTATTTTTACATGCTTATTTTTATATATGTGTCAATATGAATTCGAGTGACAACATTGCGACATAAATTTAGATCTTTCGTTCGTTATTATTACTTTTTAAATAACCACATAGTTTTTTATGTATGCGTATAAATTCGAGTTTGTCTACGTTTCGATGTAATTTTTTTAATATTTTTTTTTACTTATTTTTATGTACGATTCTTATGTATGAGTTGGGTAAGATATAATATGTTTTAGATTATTTGAACTTCTATTTGTTAACTTAAAAAAAAAGATGTCATACTTACTTATTTTTATGTACGTGTCGGTATAAAATTTAATTTATTTATGTTTCCGTGCTTATTTTTATGTACGTTTCCTATGTATTAAATTGGTGACATATAATACGTTTTAATTAGATAGTATATACTGGAGTTAGTTAGTGATATCGACATTGTATATTTATCTACCAACAAACAACAATACAAAAATTCTATTAATACAATCGTAAAAATTCAATTTACAAAATGGATTGAGGTCGCCGCAACAGAAAAATCCGAGCTCCATTAAATTTCAAACATAACCTATGCATATCAAAATATAGAGTTGTAAACGAATTGTTTGTGAAGTGTTCAGCGGAAAGTTCGTTTATTAATAAATGAAGGAATACGAACAAAAATTATCGTTCGTTTAGTTAAATGAACGAAAATGAACAATGATCTTGTTTGTTCAATTATGTTCGTGAATGTTAGTTTCTATTATTCGTTTACGTTCTTTTATGTTCGTTCATTTTAGTTTATTTTATGCTCATATATATATATATATATTCGATTTATTTGATTATCGTATTATATTATATATTTGTTTATGTTCGTATTTGGTCAGTTATGTATGTTTATCTCCTTTCGTTTAACATGTTCGTGAACATAAACGAAGGAACATGAACATTGTAATTTATTAAACGAACAAACACGGACAATAAAATTCGTTCGTTTATCTATTCGTTTGTTCGGTAACTTAAACGAACGAGCATGAACAATCATCGTTCGTGTTTTTTCGGTTTGTTTATTGACATATCAAAATCTATAATATAAACAAAATCATACGGATACATTTAATGAGAACACAAAACTTATACCAAGCCATCCAAAATATTAAATACAAGATCAATTTACTCTAAATTATTTTCATGCAAGACTCTTATAAAACATGATAAAACAAGAATCTATTATTTACTTCCGATTCTTTGATGCATAATTGGATATGAACCACAACGGACCTCTATTTATGGGGTATAAAAATATGCATTGAATAGCAAGATGAAACACCCAACTGGATATGAAACACCCAATTTGCTTCTTATCTCTATACCAAGTATCTTGTTAATTCTTTGCTTAGTGTAGCCTCAACCGAGTGATACACGCGTCCAAACAAAAGGACAATTGTTGTTTAAAGGTTATGTTTCAAACAAAAGGAAAACCGAAATAACTCAATAAGGTTCTTGGTGAGGAATAACGATATGAATTTCAATCTGCCTCGTAATTTTATATTGTAATTCCATTGATTTGTTGAGTTAAATATACTTTTTTTTTCAGAAAATCTTTAAAAGATGGGATTTCTTCATAAATTCCTATGTAATTATTGTTTGAGAATGGCGATTATAGGGCAGTCTCGATGGCGGCGCGTGACCCCCGTCCTTTTAAATCTCGATTCCCTCTTTTGTGATAGCAACCCTCCAAAAGCTATTAAATAAAATCATATAATAATTTTTTATAAAACTTTTCTTTCTGCGTATATTCTTCTTCATCATCTTCTTCTTCTTCTTTTTTTCTTCTGCCAAATTTCTAAGAAAAAAAGATCTTCAATAACAATCATTCGGTCCCCAAAACGCAAAACCCTCCTTTTCTCTTCTTCAATCTTCTCCTGTTCTTGGAGGGGCGGAAACTTCAATCAATCATGAAGCCCTCCACCCCCGCCGCCGTTAACAGGATTAATAATCGCCCTCGCCGCCGTCCTGACCTAACCCTACCGTTACCCCAACGAGAACCCCAAATAGCTGTCCCACTCCCTCTCCCACCCTCCTCCGCCACCACTACCTCCTCTCAACTACTCCCTCCGGCTCAACACCAGCAACAACCCATCAACTTCTCTGAACTCGACCGTATGAATAGAATCGGCAGCGGCAGCGGTGGAACCGTTTACAAAGTTCTCCACCGTCCAACCAACCGCCTATTTGCTCTCAAAGTAATCTACGGAAACCACGAAGATGAAGTTCGCCGTCAGATCTGTCGAGAAATCGAGATCTTACGAGACGTCGATAACCTCAACGTCGTCAAGTGTCACGATATGTTTGATCACGCCGGAGAGATTCAGGTTCTTCTTGAGTACATGGACTGCGGGTCGCTTGAAGGTACACACATCTCCCACGAACCCTCTTTGGCCGATCTCACCCGTCAGATCCTCTCCGGTCTCTATTACCTCCACCGGCGTAAGATTGTTCATCGTGACATTAAACCCTCCAATCTGTTAATAAATTCGAAGAAACAAGTTAAGATTGCCGACTTCGGGGTATCTAGAATCCTAGCACAAACCATGGATCCTTGCAATTCATCCGTCGGTACCATTGCTTACATGAGTCCCGAGAGAATAAACACGGATCTGAATCACGGAAAATACGATGGATACGCCGGCGATATCTGGAGCTTAGGCGTTAGCATTTTGGAATTCTATTTAGGGCGTTTTCCGTTTCCGGTGGGAAGACAAGGCGATTGGGCTAGCCTCATGTGTGCTATTTGCATGTCACAGCCACCGGAAGCCCCGCCCACGGCATCTCGTGAGTTCCGTGAATTTGTGGCGTGCTGTTTACAGAGGGACCCGGCGAGGAGGTGGACGGCGGCGCAGCTGTTGCGTCACCCTTTTGTTACCGGCTTAGCCGGTAACCATAGCATCGCGAATCAGGTGCATCCAACTCATCAACTACTTCCTCCTCCACCACGTCCACATTTTTCATCATCGTCTTGATCTTCATTCCATAATACTTTTCACGCCTTTGATTTACAACTGTGTAAGATGATGATGATGATGATTAAAAAATTTGATTTTTAGAGCAATGTTTTGTGTTACTATTCGATCGATCAATCAAATCAAATCAATCAATCTTGGGTTTGATAAATTAAGATTCTCCGAAATCCATGGGTTTCTCCAATTTAAAGAAGGATTGATTGGACAAACGAAACTAAAATCATCTTTCTTTACAATTATTGTTGGGACTTTTAAGGCATTCGATCATCTATTAATATTGTTGCAATCATTTTTATATGCATGATTTCTCCAGAAAAGAATGAATTCGTTTTGATTTTAGTGGCAAATGACTTTTTATTGCGAATTTAATTCCAGAAAAGATAAATGCATTGTAGTGTCAATCATTACAAAAGAAGGTAAAAAGGTACATTGCAAATTAAGTGGGTTATGACTTTTAAATCTGCAAATATTATACAGATTTCGGGTGTGACAGTGAATTCTTGGATTGTTGCGTTGATTAATAATATCGTGTTTGAGTTGTACAAAAAGATTGGTCCTTTTTTTATATATTTGTCGACATAAAAAGATTGTGAAATTGCATAGAGGACATTATTGTATGTAAATTTTGACTTTTGAGTGACCTTAGACTTTGTTATGGAAATAAATTATTTTTTATACCTTAAAAACAGTGTTCATCTTCTGAATAACAAAATATGAACAACATGAGCAATTTAAGGGTAAGCGAGAAGAATTTTTGATCAAAATCATACAACTTGAACATGAAAGCCAAATGGAGCCAGAAAATGTTGATTGTCGATTTATTTATTTAAAGCTGGATGAGTTTGGATTCGTTATCTGAAAAATAAAATAATGATGATTAATTTACTAATGAAATATATTCAATGATACTCGAGTTTGTATCATCTTATGTCGCCGAAAGATTCTATTTTATAAAAAGAAAAATTGAACCATGAGATGAGATAAGATGCTGCATGTGGACGAGTGTTGTAATTACTAATTAGGTCGGACAATGGAGCGTTGTAATTACTAATTAGGTCGGATAATGGAGTGGGTTTTGATCCTGATCCGATCCAAACCCTTAAAAATTATATGAGTTTGGAGTATAGTTTTTGATTCGTTTACCTGTTAACAATCCGTACTTGCTAACCATTTTTATTAAAAAAGTTGGGTATGGATCATCACCAATCTGACAATCCATTTATAACCCGTATAAATTTTAGAATTATATGTTTATATTTTGGGAAATCTGTGAAAAAGTTCCAATATTTTAGGGCAGTTTACGATTTAATCACAAATTAAATTTTGTTTACAAAAAAGGACAGATTACCGGCTAAAACTTCGGATTAACCCTTCGTGGCCGGTTTCATAAATTTAGCCGGTATCTCGTATTTTTTCGTTAATTAATCCAAATTTTGGGGTTTTTTCATTAATTAATTAAATTTTTAGGCTTTTCATTAATTATTACCAATAAACCAAAATATTTGGACTTTTTTGAAGATTACTTTTAAACTAATATATATTATATGATCTAATTTAATATGTATTATTCTATGTCTTCTTTCTTATGTTCTTCTAGGCTCACCGTGTGTTTTTATCGGTGTCGTCAAACCCAACAACAAAAATCTCAATCACAAGCCTCGTTAACTCCATCGATTTTCCAAAATTATCCATTCATAACTCTATGATCATCTTTCAATCTCCAAATAAAGAACGAAGAAAATCGTTGTTGATTACGTGGATGTCCCTATTACCTAACCATGACTTAAACCGTGGTTCCAACACTTAGATGTTCCTATTACCTAACTATGACTTGAATTCATACACTAATGACGTTGTCCATAGTGTTGTTAACAATAGAAGATGAATCTCACATGTTCAACCACTCATACATTGGCTCAAGTCTTACTTGACCCTTGTTTCCTTACAACACTTTAGAAGCCCCAACGTAAGATGAATCCCACATGATTCATCATTTATTGGTTGTTTTTGTCAAAAAGTAAAGCATTTTGGAAACCCCAAATAGACTAAAACGTAATAATGATAATTATTGTAATACCACACCAATTGTCATTATGACTTAAACGTAACATCACAACAATTGTCATTATTACATTTTAGTCTATTTGGGGCTTCCAAAATGCATTAGTTTTTGGCAAGACAAAAAACAATAAATGATGAACTTCTTGATAAAGATCGGAACACAATCTTATTGATGGATCCAAGATCTCCTTCTCGTCCCAAGCCTTTTTCTCCTCAATCTTCTTCTAAAAAATGCACTACAATATGCAATATTAGCCCGTCTTTCTCTCCTACAAGCATATAACTCAATTAGGGTTTCTCTCAGAGTGTTAAGATGATAAGGGAGGCGGAAATGAAGGCTTAAGGTCCTTTAAATAGGACACAAACCTTGAAAATTAAGGTTTACACACTCAGTTCCTACTCGTCAAGTTGGGGTCCTCCAACTCGTCGAGTAGACTCTAGAAATTACACGACCATTAACATTCTCTACTCGGCGAGTTGGGGCCTCCAACTCGTCAAGTTGATCAGACAACAAGAATATAAATTAATTAAATATTATACGTGGGAGTCGGGATGTTACACCTATTGTAAAGAAACAAAGGTCAAGTAAGACTTGAGCCAAGGTATTAGTGGTTAAACCATGTGGGATTCATATTTTGTTGTTAACAAAACTATGGACAATGTCATTAGTGTATGGGTTCGAAATAAGGTTAAAGTCATGGTTAGGTAATAGGAACATCCGAGTGTTGGAACCGTAGCTCGTAGGTATACCAAATTAATATTTTAATAGTTTATGATGGATAGCTTGTTGACAATTTTTTACAATTAGAGTTAACATTCTTCATGGTTTTCAGTACATAATATCGAGTTGATTTTTCTACCTATGTTGAGTTTTTTAAGCTTAATGGTTCATTCTTCATGGTTTTTAAGCCCTATTGTAAGGAAGCAAGGGTAATGTAAGATTTGAGCCAAGGTATTTGTGGTTAAACCATGCGGGATTCGTATTTTGTTGTGAACAACACTATGGACAACGTGAATAATATATGGGTTCGAAATAGGATTCAAGTCATGGTTAGGTAACAGGAACATCCAAGTGTTGGAACCACGATTTAAGTCATGGTTAGGTAATAGGGACATCCACGTAATCAACAAGGATTTTCTCCGTTCATTATTTGGAGATTGAAAGATGATTATAGAGTTATGAATGCATAATTTTGGAAAATCGATGGAGTTAACGAGGCTTGTGAGTGAGATTTTTGTTGTTGGGTTTGACGACACCGATAAAAACACATGGTAAGCCTAGAAGAGCATAAGAAAGAAGACATGGAATAGTATACATTAAATTAGATTATATAATATATATTAATTTAAAGGTAATCTTCAGAAAAGTCCAAATATTTTGGTTTATTGGTAATAAATAATGAAAAAACCCTAAAATTTTGATTAATTAATGAAAAAGCCCCAAAATTTGGATTAATTAACGAAAAAAGACGAGATACTGGCTAAATCTGTGAAACCGGCCACAAAGGGTTAATCCGAAGTTTTAGCCGGTAATCTGTCCTTTTTTGTAAACAAAATTTAATTTGGGACTAAATCGTAAATTGATCTAAAATATTGGGATTTTTTCACAGATTTCCCTAAAATTTCATTATTCGAAAATAAAAATACTAATTAAATATGAAGGTTTGTAGAATATTTTATATAAAGTTAAAATTTTGAAAAAGTATATATAATATTATATATATTATATATAATATATATATTATATATATATATATATATATATATATATATATATATATTCTATTTCGAAAAAAATTATTATTATTATTAAAAAAAAGGTTAATTATTAGATATGTAATTTAGTTAAAGAATCAAATGGCTACAGTTGATGGAATATTGAGATTAAGTTAGTTTTAAGTTATAATATAGATTTATTATTGGAGATCTCATATTATATTAAGATAATAAGGTTCTTTTTTAAATGTTAGTAAAAATAATGGTTGTTTTTATAGAATTAATCTCTTTTATATAAAAACATAGGCTTCATCTGTTACTTTACCGTTGACTAATTGTAATAGTTAACTTATTTTAATATGAATACCAACATTTTATAATTGTTTTTTAAATATAAAAGAGATTATGTCAGATCATATCTTATATATGATCTAATTTTATTATTACTGAATCACAAGAAAGTTGAATTAACCAATTAAAAAAGATAATGATCTATACTCTGATGTAGTTTGTGAACATAAAACTTATTATTTGATGATTACCACCAACTCATCTACATGTACAGTCAAAGATACCACACTAGTGGAAGATCTAATGACTTGTGTCCATGTGGTTTGATTGTGCGAATATGAATGAATGGATCGTCTCTACCTGGTTTAATCGTGGGAATATAAACCATTATTTTTAATGTAATGACTTTTTATGATGATATTTTATTCAAAAGGGCTAATTTAATTGAATAATAACCAATTTGTACACGTTTATTTATCAAGTCCTCCATTATTTTTGGAAACTCTTTACACTTATACCATTAAACTAAATATTTTGTGTCCAACTAACCATTTTGAAGACACTGGAAGAGCCGTTATATTGTCGATATGGTGGCAGGGGCGGATTTAGGGGGTCATCAGTGGCACTGACAACCCTTGACTTTTTCGGCTGCAGTAGAAAAGTTTTCGAAATTTTTTAAAACTTTTATTTTTTCTACTATGGTGCAAGTCTTAACTTTTCCGTGCAACTCTTACTGTGAAATTTTGCGGCCACCCCTATATCGTGGTCAAAGTTGACACATCATACAAATCTATCAAAATTTTGGACACCGATACTTTGGTAAAAAAAATAAACAGTTTTGAGAGGCATAGTGAAAAATTATGCATTTAGTAATTTAAACATATAAAATAAAACAAAGCATTCACAAATTAAAACGTATAAAAATCATGAATTCACGGTCTAAATTTTTTAAAAAAACATGCATTCATAACATAAAACTTATTAAAAAAAATCATACGTTCATAATTTAAATTTTATGTTTTTCATTGAAACAAATCATCAAACTCTCTTTCAAACTCTTGTATTCATAGATTAAAACTTATAAAAATTCATGCATTCAAAACCTAAAAATATAGTTTTTTTTTAATAAAAGTTAAAACTAACATGAACAAAACTAAACAAGAGTTAAAACACTAAAACATCACAAATCATGACTTAGAAAAACGTAAATTCACTTCATTTGAGGAAAAAACTGACATAATAATACATCCTAAATTCAATTCACAATATAACAACTATAATCATAAACTTTTGTCGGGTTGGAAATATCGAAACTGATGTCGACATTGTGAAGACTATTTTGAAGATTATTTTGACGACTTTTCTGATTTAGTTTATGCTTAGTGGTTGCTAAAGTGTTTTGAGCATCCTAACAACGTTAAGGTGCACATACATCCCTAAATGTTTTGGATCTATGTTTTCTCTAATTATACATGTATATTGATTTTACAAAGCATTTCCCTGACTAGTATACA